ACTTAGCGTGTGACGCGAGCGATTTCGACACGCGTGCGGCATGTGTCTGCATGCGTCCGAATGCAAGGGAACACGGATGTACATTTATGCCCACACGCCTTCGCAAGTATAAAGGAATCGCAATTACTATGTTTTGAATAGGGTTTTCTTCTATTTATCAGAATATATATTTTCAACGTGATGCATCAGATTGCCCTCCTCAACTGGCATTAAACTTAGGATTTCTCTTTTTTGACAATTTTGTCCCTATAGCTGTGAAATGATCCAAATGCGCGAGGGCATGCGATGTACACGCGTGTTCCCTTGCGTTGGAACGCATGCGGACGCATGCAGACGTGCAAGCCGCATGCGTGTCGAAATCGCACGCGTCACACGCTGAGTGTGAAACGGCCTTTAGAATGCTGAGGGAGCGTCTGTGAACTCAATTCCGGTATTTCCTCATCTTCATGGCGGAATGAAGAAACTAAGGACTGAAATCGCGGATACTTCAAAGAACCGTATGAGGTGGTTCATCTTCTGACTTGTAGTGTCATCAGTACTGATATTAATATCGGTTGCCAAGGCATATAAGAGGGTAATTTGACAATGAGTCTCGAATTGAAACCATCTTTGGAAAATGGATGAAAATCTTGTCGTTGAGCAGCGTGCAGTGATCTGATATTGGGTGTGGAAGGACAAGAATGCGACGCAGATTCATGACGAGCTCGTCAATGTTTACCAGGTCAATGCTTTACCATACAGTACGGTCGCACGCTGGATCGGTCAATTTCGTTGTGGTCGGCAGTCATTCGAAGACCAACCGTCCAATGGGGCGCCAACAACAGTGACTACCGACGAAAACGTGGCAACTGTCCAACGGACTGTGTTGGCAGATAGAAGAACGAAAGTGCGCGAGATAGCGGAGACATTGGGCATCAGCACTGAACGTGTTCATTTCATTTTGCACGAAAAATTAGGCCTATCAAAGGTCTGCGCCCGATGGATCCCCCGATTGCTGTTAAAAGCAGAATCGGGCGCAATTGAGTTTAGATCTCTTACGACGCTTCGACGCAGATCCGGAGAACTTTCTGTCAGATTAGTGACTGGGGATGAAACCTGAGTTTATCACTCCGATCCTGAGACAAAACAGCAATTGATGCACGTACTTCGATGTTTGAAATCAGATCTCAGAGGAAAAAGATTTTCATAGGTGTAAAGAAAGATGGTTGAAGTGTAGTAGCATTAATGGTGATTACGTTGAAAAATAAATGGTAGTTAATGGCTCAGTGCTTCCCTATTGAGATTCTCACTCATTGTCAAACTACCCTCGTAAATCTTCGACCATTATTGGGATTACTACTGGGCCCCTTATTGGGCCGATGTCCGGGGAGGGGGGTAGTTTCCCTGAAGTGTGAACTTTTCAATTTGAAGTAATGTCTGTATTAATATAACCCCCCTTACATACACACGTCTGTCTCTTGGCCGTGCAGGAGACACAGGACAGTACAATTAGTATTCTCTGATAGTACTAAAGAGGCTCAACAAAGTAGTGCAGCTGATATTTAAAAGAGCATCCTTTCTGTAAGAAAATGTTCAGAATTGTAAAGAATATAGGGATAAAGGATATAGAAAGGATATATATCTGTCTCATGTATCACAAGAGTAAACATGTCTCACATGTAATGTATGTTGAAAGGGAAGTCCTCAGTGTTGGTTCCAATTGGTTCCGTACAGTCACGCATCTAGGATTTTCAAATAGGAGAGGATTTGGGGACAAGCGTCTACAGGGGAGGGATATGGGGAGAGGGAGTGCTGGGCGAAGGGAGGTCTGCTATTGGGGGGTCTGGGGTCCGTACGTTTTGGAAACAGTCGGAAGTCGCACGGTGCGAGGTCTGGCGAAACGGTGGGGGTGGCAAGACCAGCACCAAAATCCCGGATAGCATCAGTAATAACCTGCACAATGTGCTGACTAGGATTGTCGTGCAAGAGGCTACCATGCACTCCGGCCACTTTTCAAGAATGGCTCGAAGCAGTTCTTTCCTAGGAATATCTGCATGAACGGCTACATTAACTGTGGCTGCCCGCTGTTCGTAGTGTCACCAAGACACCTTTGCGGTAGAAAAAATGTTAGCATCTCGCGTTATTCTTCCGTTGTATGCGGCGCTGATAAGACCCCAGTTAGAATATTGCATCCAGTTTTGGAGGCCTACAAATAAGGGCGATTTGTTGGCGCTCGAGGGAGTACAGAGGAGGGCCACAAGAATGATCAAGGAGATCAGGGGACTATCATACGAGAAGCGTTTAGAAGTGTTGGGACAAATTCCAACTTTCCCAATCCTGTCATTTTGCAAATAGTCCAGCCGTAGGATATGTGTGGTTCTTAAATGTTCTGAAGATACTACATCATATTGCATCTTGTCCAGAGCAAAGTACCAATCTATTCCAGTTTCAGACTGGAATATCATGATTATGATTATGATTGGATCATGATTATGTGAGTAATGTCCTCTACTCTCTTCAGGGACTCCACCAATCCTTCAATTACGATTAAATTCCCGAGGATAGGACTGTAGCGGCTTGTAACGAACGAGGGGCCAGTGTTACTGCAACCCATCAATGTCGCCTTGTGGAAGTCATCTAAACTGATGTTCTGATCTCCACTCCAGAAATGATTGCAGAAGCACACAATAGTTGTAAACTATCTCTGCTGGACAATACAAATCTGAAAATGACATGGAGGAAAGAAAGGCACCACCCGAATGGGTCAGTCCAGGCCTAACCTGGCCCATATGAATATCTCGAATTGACTCTAGCCCAAACCAACCCTGCACTTAAGAGAAGCCAATCTTCCATTCCGAGTGCCCATGGACTCTACGGTATGTGTGTGCCTGAGTCTACCGCCTTGTACTGTCCCCTAGGTTAGAGCTCAATGTACACACGCANGACAGGCAAAAAGGTGGGGGGCAATGTTGACGTTAGGTACTAGACAGTAAGCAACTAGGTTACGCAAATAACAAAAAAAATACAAAAATATTTAGCTTTAAGAGGGTTAGGCCTACCCTAATATTAAGGAACGCTCGAAATCGACATGTGATATCGAAATGGGGTGAAATCGCCTCTTGATATCACTAACTATCTTGAATCGTGATGCTCGCTCAGTTATGAATTTTCAACAATCGTGAGCAGTTCTTAATTACGGGTATCGCGACACTAAATATTGCAGGAGGGGGGGAACAAAGCAAACGAAGCGCTAACCTCAGAGCAACACTGAATTTTTGCGTTAATTTTTTTCACTAAGGAATCGACCAAACTAGAACCGAAAATCGTGATAAGTTGATATCTATTCCCGATGATACAGTCCGGTTACAGGTCAGGCAAATTTTATCATTTTTGACAAGAGCTAAGTTTCCTCCAGAAGCCAAGGTGATCCACAGGTCACATCCTCAGGCTAAGTTGGAGACACTAGAATGCCGAGGCCAAGGAGTGGGTGTGCGCGCGCGCCGGGGATGAAAAAAAAAATTCATTGAGATATCAGCTGTGTTGTAGTCAAAGGAAGTTGGAAGAAGACCAGGCGAGTGGCGTAGCCAAGACTTTGCCAGATTTTGCCGGGGGTCGAGGGAGGACGCATTTCGACCAGATTTGGAGGGAATGAAGCCCTCCCAATCCCCCTCTCCTTGCTACACCACTGATAAAGACGCTTCATTGCATCAGTTTGCCTATTATTTACTTCATTAATACTTTTCTCATATCTTATTCTGTTGAACTTCAAGGTATTTTGCACCAGAACGACAGGAACAGTGTGCCAACCGCATCCTTATACTTTATGCATTTTTTTTTATTTCAATAACTTCAGACTCCAGAGGCAAAAACAGCAAAAAGCCAAACTGATATAGGACTTTTTCCATTGCACAGCGGGTTAGTATAAGAATAATAAGCCAAAAAATACAGTATTTCAGATTTGCCCCAAGTTTTTCCACAAACATAGGAACCTAGACTCATAGAATCTTAATATTTTGTAGATGGTGTGAACAAAAATACCATTCTGATGTCAAATTGACAACTGAAACTTTCCTATTGTCAAAAATCTGACCGACTTTCTAAAAATGGTGAGCCATGGAAGACTGCGTTAATCTCGATTTGGCTTATACCCGAGGGAGGTAATGTCCTAGCAGAAATGATGCATCATTTGCAGCTGGTGGTCTCAGCCCCTGTAAGTCACAGGGGGGGAATTCCAGGGAAGACTGAAAAATTTGCACTTTTCTGACTTTACAGGGTTGAATCTTTTTTTGGCATTAGACGGCACTATTCTGCTTACCAGAAGTTGGTATTTGTATTAGGAATAAAAGTGTGGGGAGTTTTATTTTCAGCAAGTTGTAGCAATATGAATGACAAGAGATTTTCATGTATTTCATAAATGGCTACTTTTAGCATTATGAACAAGGTAGCGCATGAGATCTACTAGGCTGCAGGAAAGAGTAAATCTGTGGAATTGTGAGATTGACTTGGGGTTCAAATCAGTGAAACATCATATACTCCTTGAAAGATGCTGTGCAGAGATGTCTAGATTTAAGATTTCTTCCTGTGCTTCCCTATTATTGCCTGACCCCACCACACAGCCCACTGTGCATTGTCAACCAAGCCTCTGTCCTTTTGAATTGAGCACATTCTGAGAACAACTCACCAAATCAATGCCATTACATTTATTCTGACTTAGCACAGCATTCCATCAAATATCTGAGTCCAAAAGGAGCTGGTTTCACGTAAGTCTACATAGGATGGCAACAATGTGAATTTCCTGTCATATCCAAAAAATATTCGATGCAAGGAAGGATGGAGAAGGAACATAAAGAATAAATACTTCAAAGGCAATTTCAAACACACTGTTACTCCAAACATAAACTGACATCAACCAAAGAACCATCAGACTTTCATCAATAAAAATTTATCTAAAAAGATGTATATCATGAAAATATTAGGAAGAAAGAAAAAAAAAAGAGAAATGCTTAAAACATACTCTCAATCATCCTTCAAAAATAAAAACACACCACATGGCAACTTCATGGACTTCCCTTTTTGCCTTGAGAAATTTGCATTCTTACCATTTGGTAAGAATGAGGTGGTAAAAGGCAGTCAATTTAACTTGCCAGCCATCCAAGATTCTCAGGACTTCATCTATCAGGGAGAGAAGAAGGCATTTCAGCGGGCATCTTCCTCAAGGCGCCGTTTCCTGCCAGGACTGTGGCCAGCAGGATTGCTAAGAACCTCAGCCATCCTGGTGATCTCCTTTGGGTTCACAACCACGCTATGTGTTGCATTGTTCGTCTTGTAGATTCCGACCAAGGTGCTGGCCAGCTCAAACATCTGTGTCCGCAGGGAAATGATGATGAACTGGGCATTTTTGGTTCGACTCTGTGAGAAAATGAGCCATGATGATTTATGTTTCCCATTCAATGCCACTACTTCACAAGATTCTAATGCAGGAAGGATTTAAGGAGACTCCTTGCTTCAATTCACCCTCATTTGATCTCAATATACAGGGTAGTAAATCTCCTTCCTTGGATATTCCCTTCTCTCTTTCTCTCAGCCTACTAGAATTAGGTCACAATCTGTTCACCAGTGAAAGAGCTGCAGGATTTGAATGGAAGAGTCCATAAAAAGAGAACCCAAGCACAAGGGGCTTGCTTGGGTTACCAGCTTGACAAGAACAAAAGCAGAATGATAGAATTATAAAGCATTGAGGTTAACAAATTAACTTAGTTACCCTAATTAACCTAGGAATAAAAACTTAGCCTAGGAATAAAAAAATCAGCCTCCTCCTTATTCCATGCTTATTTAGTTATATAGGATCTACCTCAGCCAGGAAGGCACTGCTTGGAGAAACATCATGGCTATAAATCCAGCTAATAAAGCTAGTATGTCTCAAATCATCCAAGACCTGACTACAGCAAATACATTGAGAAAAACTGTACCTGAACATATTCTCCAATGATGGCAACATTGCGAAAGTCAAGTGCAGCATCAATCTCATCCATGACATATATCGGGGTGGGTCGGTAATAGTGCAATGCAAACACCAAAGCTAAGGATGAGAGAGTCTTCTCCCCTCCAGACAGGTTTGAGATATTCTTCCAGGACTTCTTTGGCGGTCGCACACTGTGGAAGAAGGACAGCTCACTTCACAATGACTGAATTGGCATATGATACAAGCAATGCTGTCTCCTAGCCCACCTGAAGGAGATTCCCTCCTCAAATGGATCAAGGCTGTTGACAAGCTCAAGCTCTGCATCCCCTCCTTGGGTAATCATTTGGTAGATCTCCTTCAACTTCATGGAGATGATCCCAAAACCAGTCATAAATTCATTGAGACGATTGATCTTGAGATCACTCAGCCGGCTCTTTAGGTGGTCTCTTCGTTGTGTTAACTGATGCAGTTCATCCACCTTTGCCAGGTACTGATCCAACTGCAAGTTCACAAAAATAACCCCAATGAGTGCATCCATCCAATGAGCAAAGGGAAAAAATCACATATCCCCACCTTGTCTCGATATTCCTTTATGACTTTGAGATTGGGCTTCTGATCCTTGAGTTCACCTTCTAGAGATGTGATCTTGCTCTTCAAGGCCTCTCGATCCAAATCTTCTAATTCCTGCTCAGTGAGAGTTTTCAAAGGCTCTGTCTCTTCCCCTTCCACTTCTTCCAACTGGAGCTTCCCAAGCTTGCTCTTGATTTGGTTCACAGTAGTCTTAATGTCCTTCACAGTTTCTAAAACTTTTTCCATGGCTTCATCAAATGAGATCTTTTCCTTCCTCAGTTGATTTTCCTCTTCAGTCAAGGCATCCAGTTTCTTCTTCACTTTCCCCCCTCCCTCTTCCAACTCTTCTTTCTCCTCCTACAATAACAATGAATCCATTGATATGGGTATATATGGGTTGATATGGGGTACCTCATTGATATACAGAAGTTATTCCAAAAAGCCTTCACCAGAGGGGAGAGAACTTTTAAATTTTAGACTAAAATTTTAAATTGCTTTTTTCCCAATTAAACCACCAACTAACCTTCAAGACAACACTATAAAATTACACTTGATCAAACATTTTGACAAACCTTATATCTATATTTTCCTGAGCAGGCAAGAAAAATTAAAGGTTTCCTTTTAATTTTCATAAAATGTTCTCATGACTAGTACTAATAAAAATAAAATGTATTTTATGTTAAATAAGAAATGGAGACATAGGTGGGTGATATAGGGCCTGTGGGCTGTGTTTATGCCAATTTTCATCCTGGTATCAAGAGCAGAGTGTGAACGAGTTAATTTACCTTCATTGATGCCTATTGTGATGTCTGTTCAGTTTCATTGTTGCTTATTTTAATCAGAAGAAAATGGCTAATTCTGTGTAAGCCATGTTACCTTAGAACAGACTCAATGAATCTTGGAGAAAATCAAAAGTAAAAATTGAGGTTTTGCTGTGAACTAAAACTCTGGATATAATGAGGAATGCATTACCTCCTACGACAACTTCACAATTTCCAGACTCCAAAATGTTACAGAGAGCACTTTTTTTAATTGTGAAAAGATTCAGCACCAGTCTGAGAAGGAATTGAAATGAAACTACTCAGGTGCAAGTCATCCTATGATATGGCTGTTATACATTCTTCATGCAAGAGAATCATTGGTAAAATTCATGAATGATGAAGTGATACCTTGAGTTGCTCAGAACGCTGCATGTTTTGTGAGGCATGTTCTTCTATCTCCTTCTGTCGACCAACAAGTCCTTTCAAGGTCACTTCTAACTCCTCAACCTCCACTTTCATTGACTCCACTTTGTTCTCACTTTTCTTCAGATTCCTTGGTAGGAAAAACAGAAAAATCCCATCATGAGTAGACAGATATGTTAAAATAGCATTAAAAAATCCAAGTCAACCCTTTCTTATCATGACAAGTAACATGGGCATGAGCAAATATTAAACCTTCTTTTTACTCATTAATTCCCTATTTAATTTTGCCCCAATGGTGCCTTCTCATCCAAGAGGACACAGAGCATCTAAGCATGGTGGAAGAAGGTGATAGTGAAGCTACATTGACTGTGAGTGCAATGAACCAGTGAGTACATTGTGTTCATTCATTGGTTTGTACTTATCACCTATGTTTGGAACCACTATTTACTGTTTTACTTCACATACTGAAGATACATATTTCCTCTGGCTACGCAGGCTTGATGTGGTCTATTATCAGTATCAGAACCTTCTGAGGATCATTGGAAATTCTGCATCAAGTGGGACACAAATGCCATTCCACTTCCCCCACTACCAGTAGCCACATGGGATATAGGGAAACACATTAGAGAAGCACTTAATAAAAAATAAAAGGTTGCCCTTATCAAGTGAAACATGAAAGGGTGATGTGACTGTGTTTCCTCTGCCATCTGACTGCCTTCTGAATAAGTATATACAGGGTGGGCCATAAAAAAAGAAAACATTTTTAAATTTCAAAACTTTTTGTTATTAATGCAGTAAATTGCACTTCATGCAAGCAGTCATAAAGTTTTTGTCCTGACTACATAAGATGTTCAAAATGTCCACCTCCTACAGTTCTGTTTGTTCATCATTCCGTTCATGTATACATGACACTCATTGGGGAAAATTATCCTATCCATCTGTCTTTCACATTTTCCAACGTCTGAGACAAGCAAATGCAAAAATTGGTATCATCTTTCTTTATCATTTTCACTGCAGGACTGCAGCAGTTGAATCTTATATGGAAACAACCCAATATCAAGTTTTAAAATTCACCACAATGGTGCACAACTTACACCTGAGTTGGCTGAAATTCATCTTGTGGATTTTTACAGATTGCTCTCTATATGTTGCCGGACATCTTCAATTTTTTATGGAACCCCAACAGTTGTCTTTCCTCCGAATGACCTTCATTGGCATTTTGTACTAAACCAGTGGTTCTGAACTGCTCCACCAGACCTATCATTGCTTTCTAGCCAGGTACACGAGAGTCAGGAAATCTTCAATGAATATTTCTTTGCACCATCTTTGATAACTTTGTTTCAATGTAAGCCTCATAGATAAAAATACACTGCTCTATTGTGAATTGCTTCATTCTCCACAAGTATCTGCAAAAAAAAAAGTTAGTGTTGTTCTATGACATAAAATTTATATTATATTTTCATCTCCAATAGAACATATTTCATAGAAGCATAAAATGTTTCTCTTTTTTGTGGCCCACCCTGTATTTTCACTTGCTAAAATGTCCCCCTCAAAAATGTGTACAGTTAAATTTTTATATTTTTATGCAATTTTTGCAGATCCAAGTACTTTTCTTCCTAAACAGTTTCCTAAACATTTATCAGAGAAAGTGCTTTCTTATGTGGAAAGTGATTACCCATACCTCATGCAGTTTGGTTTAAAGTTGCTGATCACTGATATGGCAAATAAATGCCAACACTTTGAAAAAATATTAAATTGAAACTTAATTTTAGAAGAATTTGAGTCATAGCAATGTTTAGAATTAATACTATAAGATCTCTTTCAAAAAAAGGTAGGAGTCAACATTATAGGTCAAAACAGTTCAGAGTTACAAAAATGGCAGCAAGCACCAACACTCCCCTCGTAGTCAAAGTTTGAGGGCCCTCAGTCATAAAAAAACATGGATTTCATATTTTTTTGCTTCACTGTACCAATCTACAGTATTTTATTGGTATTAAATCTGTAACTTGCTGGCCATGCCATTTGATCACTCAGCATGGAATGACTCAATACTCATGCAGGATAAGAGTTCTTATGAGTTTAGTGCTGCAATGCATTTGTAGCCCCTTACCAGAGACCAAGGAACAAATTCAGAAAGCTATGCCTAAAGGAGAGGTATTTTAGTACTAGTTTCTACTTGGAAGCCACTAGTGACAGTTGAATGTATCATTTCAAGCATGCCCAGTCTCTGGCATTATGTAAGTGATACTGTTCAAAACACTTTCAACAAAAGCAAAAAACAAAATTCAAGTCCAAGGCAATACACCTAATGCACTTTCATCTTGCCCAGACAAAATGAATTAAACAGCAATAAGCATGACTACATGACCACACAAGGTTAACATTGTCCCCACCTATACGAGGTCTGATCAAAAAGTTCCAGTACTTTCTTGTTAAAAAATAAACCGCTTTAGGTAGGGGGCTAGGACTAGTGTAGGTGGGACTGGGGGGTAACCGCACACATGTTGAAACCTCCTTTGCGCTAGGATTAACCAGTTGCAAATCACGAGTGTTGAAATCCGGTTGGCTCTGCGCTCTTCGACAAATTTTTGATCATGCATTATGATCCTGATGCATCATGAGTTTGTCCCACAAGGCCAGACAGTTAACCAGGCTTACTGCAAAGATGTTTTGACCTGTCTGCGAGAAAAAATCAGAAGAAAACAGCCCCAACTTTTCCAAAATGAAGCCTGGTTTTTGCATCACGACAATGCTCCAGCCCACACTGCTGTCACAATTCAAGAGTTTTTGGGAGAAAAAATTCCTTCCCCACCCTCCCTATTCACTGGACCTGGCTCCGTGTGACTTTTTCCTGTTCCCCAAGATTTAATTTCACATGAAAGGAAAAAGATTTGAAGACACTACAAGCATCAAGGAAAATGCGACGAGGCAGCTTAAGAGTCTTACACTCCAGGACTTCCAGCACTGCTTTCAGAAGTTGCAGGAATGTTGGGATAAGTACATCGCATTGAGGGGGGAATACTTTGAAGGGGACAACAATTAATTTTAATGTATTTATTAAAAATAAAGTTTACGAATAAAAGTATTGGAACTTTTTGATCAGACCTTGCATGTTGCTGAGGACTTACCGCTGTGATGTCTGGATTTCCACAGTGAGGCGAGAAATTTCCTTGCTGAGTTTTTCCACTTGACTCTTGGCTCGATCCAGGTGCTGCTGAGCATCCTTGGTTCGTGACTTGTTCACTTCAAGGATCCTCTCATGAAGGCTCTTTACCTCCTTCTCCAACCCACTGCTCTTCTCCACTGCTTTCTCATAATCTATCCAAGGATTAACACATGGAGTCTCCTTGTGCAATAGAAAGGAATAAAGCCATCAAAGAACCAAGCTATTGTCATACCCTGGGCCTTCTTTTTGATCTCAGCTTCCAGCTTCTTCACTTCCCTCGGGTCAGAGGCCACCTTAGCAACTTTCTCCTCTTGCTCCTGTATCTGGGAATCTAGTCGTGGCACCTGCTCCTCCAACCCCTGCATAGAAAAGACCATCACTTCAGCTATTTCAACACACAAAAGCACAACCTGGATGTCTGGGATAAACTTACAGGAACCTCAAGTTGAAGTTTCTTATGTTTTGCAGTGGAATCTCGGAGATCTTTAGTCAAGCGAACGATAAGAGGCTCCAGTTCCTCCTTACGGGCATGGATGTGGCTCAGTTCCCTTTCAAAGTCCTTGATGCGAGATTCCATGACAGACAGTTGCTCGGGGGTAATTTCTGCACTGCCCGATGACAATCGGCAACCCATCCTCCCTGAACTCATTTTTTTCCCTCCTCCACTCATTATGCCTAAAAGTAGCAAGAATGAAACAGTGTAATTCAGACCTTTATTTTAAATGGAAAAAAACTGTAAGCAGCTACAAAAAGTAAATCAAACTAAGGGGCTTGTGGTGTCTTGGGCAGCTTTGCCAATTGGTTCAAATCAGTGCATCAAACATGCCAGGTGTTGCACAAAATCATAGTGCTCCAATCCAGCATACAAGTCAGGTGCACCATACACAGGCTTAAGCATAATTAATTGCTAACATGGATCCCATACAAAGTATAGACTAGCTTCTGTAGGAAGGGAAAACAGTTGGCTTAAGCAAGACTCTGATATGGAACAAGAATTTACATGCGTGGGAAAACAAGATTATCTGAAGGAAAGCAGCTTAAGTTCATCCATACAAAGGTGACCATATCAGGTCAAAAAGGAATAATCAACAGGTGGGCAGATGCCCTGAAAAGGACACCTGAATTAAAGAATATCAGGAAGACAAAAGGCACCTGAGACTTCTATGAGATCACCCCGCAATGTGACAACCCTCCAACGTTGAGCCCCATAAGCAATTCGGGTTGCCTGGTCCAAGGTCTCAGCCACAAGTGTGTCCCTCAAGATGAAGTAGAATGCTGGTCGGTACAGGTCATCTTGGATTTTCACAAGGTCAAATAGTCGAGGGACATTTTCTGGCGTCTTGATCTGAATGTGATATCATACTCAATACACTACTTATTGCTCCAAATGTATTAAAAGAAATAGAGACATACGGTGGAGTTGGCTTGTCGGTTATATTCTTGCATTTGGTCAAGGGCAATGAATGTGGCACGACCAATGTCATGGGTCTTGAGAAAATTTATGCACTCCTCAGCAGTATCCACAGTCTCAACAAGAATGTTCTCAAGCTGTGGGCAAGCAGTTGAGATGGCCACATCCCAGCGCTCATCTATTGCTCCCAGGTCACCCTTCAGAGTCACAAAAAAAAAAGGTATGTAAAGGATCAGCATCACAGGCTTTTTGTGGGAGCATGAAAAATGATATTCTTCCAAATACTTTAACTTGACAATTGAATTAGTCAAAAGAGAAGACACATGGAAATGCATAAATTCATTATGGCAAATTCATTATTCAAAATCATATCTAAAAACATAGAGTATTGGTTGTCTGTTCTGTGAGTGCATATGAAAAAATTGAACTTTCTAGGTTGGGTTATAACCTAATGGTGTAGTCACTAGAAATCAAAAATGGAATGGAACAGAACAATAAATTGAAACAGAACTCTTAACTTCAGCCATAAGAGAACATTGCAGATTGGCCAGGAGGGAAAGGAATAGGAAAACAAGACAGAACCTCAAGATTGCACCAGTGTGAGACAGTTCAAATCACTCTGATTTCAATCAGCAGGGCTGTCAGGGAGACTTAGACAAGGGTTTCCTTCTTTCTTCTCATTTGCTCTTGCGCTCTTCATCATAATGCTGTCATTGACCCAGAGGGCACACAATCCCCATACAATCCCTCCTGCTTACCTTTTCCCAAGTGGATACTCACTTGAGTCACACTGGATATATTTAACTTTTGGGGCACTTGAAATGTGAAATTTACATCTACAAAAAAGAAGAATAAAAACAAAAAATGCAAGTGCTTTTGAAAATTCATTAAAAGGCATAATGAAACACCATAAGGGAGTTACTTTTAAATTGGATACTGATATTTGTTGAATGGTGCTTTGCAGCTGCAATACCTAAAAAAACATGAATTGCCCAGGACCTCAGAGGGAAAATGAGATAACATCAAGGTTGGTAGACTAGACATTATTTATTACCTTCTAACCTAAGAAATGTAACAAGGCAAGCATTGAGTTGAGTACATGCAGTGGCAGGAACTTGGAATATGCCTTCACTAACACTGAGAGCAATGAGGAGAGTCAAGAAAGAAAATTTCATGTATGTGAGGTCAAAACTCTGAAATGAATTGGTCTTGCAAGACCTATTTGATAATATGATCAGCAGATGCAGTATAACATGTCTAAGCCTCAAGAATGGACTATAGGGCCTCATGAAAATGTAGGGACGAATTAATGTCTTTTTTATTATTTTTTTTAAATTTAAAACATGGACTGGGATGGACACACACAGACAAGAACAAAAGCCACAAGCAGCAACAGGGAATCCTTGGAAAGGGAATCCTTATCGGACATCCCTGACGTCATTGCCCCACCTTCCCATGCTTTCTGTCAAAATGTATCCCATTCCCATGGGCCCAGGGAAGGTAGTGGCAACTCCAATGCCACTCTAGCCATAGGCACTCCATCGCTGCACATCGGGCCACCAGGGCCGATGTGGTGGGTGCTGTTGAGGCGTACCAAGCCTCTCACACAATGGAGCACAGAGTGGCCTATGCTTCAGCCAAAGGGAGAGCAGGTAGTACTGGAAAGCAGCTGGGTGAACTGTCAGCCCAGGAGAATGCCACCAGCCGCCAGTTGGATTCAAACCTGGACCTCCCGCATGCACCCAGGCCCCTATCCGCTGGGCCACGGTGATGCAGTGAGGAACCAGATGTCATCAGAATATTCAGACTTATGCATTCACATGCAATAGGTATGATAAAACCAACTTACACAGACTTTGCCAATACAGGCCAAACATGAGTTGCATGGGAAGATTGTGGCAAATATTGAGTCACCCTATACGAGACTATCTACATAAAACCCAAAAAAGCCTTCAATTGTTCATCTCAATGGCTTGCTTGACCAATGTGAGCTGAATTTTCCTTATTTCAAGAGAAAACCTTAGATCGACACAAATGGAATAGGAATGAGATGAGAAATGCAAAACTGTTCCCTTGAAAAATGTGGAATGAAGAATTATTTTTCAATAAAAAGTACAAATACTGCCAACACCCTGGATTTGGCCCAAAGTACAGAGCCAAAAAACAACCCTCTCCAAATATACATAAGGAATTTAGCTGTTGAAGTATAATCATTAGGTATTCAAGAGAGATGAATAGAAATACCGACCATTCGTCCAATGATGCCATGAATGTTCCCAGACCGCTTCTGCTGCATAAGGGCATCTAGTACACGGTTGGTGTTGCGGGAAGCATGCATTGCAGACCGAGATTCCTCCAGCTGAAGACACAATCCCTGATGCTGTTCATGTAACCCTCCCTCCTTCTCAGCCAACTCAGCCAGTTCCTTTTTCCCTCCAGACAATTCCTTTTCCATCCGGGGGATTGTTTTCTCCAATTCCTTCAACTCCCTATGACATCCCATAAAAGTACTTATCTCATTCCAACAGTCTATGGATGATTTTTTCTCATGCATGTCTGATGGGCTCAAGAGAATGTATGATGGCCTCTTCCTAAAGTTCATTCCAAGTCATATCCCCACAATTTACTTACTTCTAGCAGGCCATTCAACTTCATACTACAAAGTAACACCACATGCAACATGGGCAGATCTTTGCATTTGAATGCAGTGGTAGAGCCATTCACTCTAGCCAACTCTCACCTCTGCATACTTGGTAAATTGAAAATCTGTTTGATGGCCTCTGGACACCTGAACCTAAACCTTTTCAAGTCAGTATTTCCTGATCATTTTATTCCCAGCCAGGTCTGATTTAAATACTCCTGCTCTGGGTGTTCCCACAATATACCATAGGAATTTTATTAGTCTTCTTATTAAAATTTGACTGGAAACAAAGCACATTTTAGCATTGGACTAGCATAACTTTGTGTTGTGGAGGCCTAGCATAGGACCCACTGGAGAATAAATGTTGGGGCTCCTCTGACAGTAGACTGGAAAAGGATAACACTTTACTACTTAACAGAGCCTTTCATCCATTTCCTTCTCCATCTCATCAATAGCTAAAACTCTTAACAACCAAGGTGGGATGTTAAGCACACACCTTGGAGGTATCCATGGCAATGAAATAAATACATACAGGATGTAGCAACAAAAAAAAAAGGACTAATACCTTTTAACCTATGTATATCTCCACTCCACAGCATCCATTTTCATGAAACCTTCACTGTGCATGGATGAATATCTTTTCAACAGATCTTCAGAATTTGGCACAAATTCAAATGCCAAGGCAATGCTATCAAGAATTATTCTAAAGTAATTGGCTAATGAAAATGGACAAGAGCTCCTACAGGCAGCTGAGTGTAGGAAATGCCTAAGCATTATCACCCAGGTTAGCTGCATATCATCCAGGCCACATCAAACTAATCTTCCATTGATATAAGACCTTTCAGCTAATCTTTTATTCTTTATGGTTTTAATAAGCTTTCAAAGTCATCAGCAAGAAAATGAGAATTGCTCATTGCCTTCCTTTAGCAGAAAAGCTTTGGATGAAATTTCTAACATCTATGTATAATAAATGTTCAATAAATAAGTGGACAACAATGAAAACGTGTATGAAACGTTGGTTTAATTAAAAGAAATCTCAACTGCTGTTAAGGCACTTATTCCAATGTTTCACTAGCGAGCTGATACCATTCTCATAGAAAATGATGATTGCTGCTGAAAGAAAGTTTTGACCATGTCCTTCACATCTTTGTCCAAGTGGAATCGTTGACCTTTCAGTGCCTTCCTTAATTGCCCAAAGATGTGAAAGTTGCAAAGGGATAAGTCAGGACTGTAAGGAGGGTGGTCCTTTGCGGAAGTTAAGCTCACTGTGCATGATTGTGTGAACAGTTCCAACGCTGACATTCACAGATGCTGCTAACTCTTGTATGGTCACACGTCAATCATTCCTGAATTTGGCGTCGACTGCAGCAAAAGTTGCATTGGAAATGACCACACGTGATCGACCTGTTCTGGGGCTATCCTTGGTTGATTCCCGCCCGTTCCAAACGGTGACACCAATTGTGCACAGCTGTTCTCCCTAGGCAATGTTCATCATCAACCTGTTTCATCTGGCAGTAAATATCAGCAGGTTTGATTCCCTTGGCCACAAAAAAAAACTGATAACTCTATGTTGTTCAGATCTGGACACCTCCATACTTAAGGGGTTTACAGTTAACAAGATGTCTGACTGGTTCAAACAGTTACTACAGTCTGTCTGCAGCGATTTTGTTTTCTGTCTTATATGTACGTGACGTTATGAATGATGGCACAACGATCATCTGCACCTCCTCGGAAATATACAGGTGGTCCACTTATTTATTGAACACCCCTTATATATACAGTGCCAGTTTTGTATACAAAAAAATAACTCCAGTGAAAGCAGATACATCAATGTAACAAGTCATTGGGATATATTTAGTATGTGTGTGTGCATGCAAGTTACTTATATTAATAAATTATTGACCTCCATAAGTGAGCTTGCTGTGAATGTCTCCTAGAAAAAAATTCAACATACAGGTTGTTTCAGTCAATTAGTCACCATTTCAAAATAATATAATTTTTAATGCATACAAGCAGTGATTCCCATGCCATTAAATAGAGCAAACTTCAAAGTCTTTTTTTATGTGTAGTTTAGCTCAAGGTAAGCTCAATGTGACCACCATATGCTGACAGCGGAGAGGTGTACAAGCATGTTATCTATCAAACTATTCAGCAGATCATTGTCAATTTCAATGACACATTACATTATAGCTTATTTCAGTTCAGGGACTGCCCAAGTAGCTCTATTGAACACTTTTTCCTTTAGATATTCCCAATGGAAAAAGTCACATGGTTTTATGTTGGGGCTAGTTTGGGGCCATGACAAACTACTGATGAACATGTGTCAATAGCGGTTTGAGATGACCTGCTCACAAAATTTAACAGGTTGTTTGCATGTTGATATGTTAATAACATTAAGTTAGGATTGCCAACTGCACAGAAAAAAACTTTGAATTCTGCACTATTTAAGGTTGGAGAGTGATCATGAGAGTTTCCATACTTCAAGTTTTATACTATTTTAAAATGTGACTAATTGACTGAAACACCCTGTACAAAATGAGCAGATACTCATACATAAAATCAACTGTCACCTTACATAGCCTTTTGCTGGAGCTGCTGAGTTGCAGTTTTCCGCTGATCCTGCAACTGCTCCAGGCGTGTCTTTTCTGTCCTCTCTGTGCGTTGATAAACATCCAAGTCTGACTGGGCCATGTCCCTCTGAAATTAAGGGATACTCATGACTCTTTGCAATGAAGAAAAAATCAGACATTACACAAATTCTGTAACCAAAGTATCACACATGGGAAGCATGCATGTCAGCTACAAAAAACAAAGAATACAACTGTTACAACCAATCAATGTCACTATCATTAGCTTGTGGCATAGTTGGTGGTATGCAGCACTGCAAGTAGAAACACACCAGTAAACAAAACTTCTGCTGATATGCCAACAGCAAATCGGTAGATTCTGTTTTGCAATCTTTTCCCCATGAAACAAAGAATGGGGAAGCGTGAAATGAGCAAGCCCATATTTTGGACCTTTTTGTTTTTCCAGAGAAGGGCTTCCATGCTCCCAAAGGGTTGAAACAAAAACAAAAGCAAAGCAAAAACAGCAAAAACTCAAATCCTGATAAGTCACTAATCTCGAAGTTCAATGCTTAGTCCCAGCGGAATCCCATGACACCATTTTAAATATTCTGTTTAACTCAAATTTGCTTATATTGAATTTCCAGATATCTCAAACCACATTTTTTATTCCCAATTACAATTTTCTCATGGCTAACTCTAATTCTAGGGGGGTGAAGGGTGAAAAAAATTATTATTGTGGGACTGATGGATTTTTTTAATAGGATGAGAGGCAAGAAACCTGTTCAGGAAATAGTCCTTTTGCTTAATTTTTTTTTTCTGTTTCTCCCTCCTACCTCACAGACACCTTTGGAGAGGATTAAACCCAAGAATTAAAACTGACAAGCTTATGCTATAAAAAGAAGCACCCTCTAGCACTCTCCCTGTCTGTCTATTGCTCTCACTTTGTGCCATTCCAGTCATATGTCATTTTTATACCATTGGTGTTGGAATGAGCTTACTCAAGAGGAAACTGAAGACTTAAAGAGTACCCGATGAAGGGCATTCTGATAAATTAATTTTGCATATGGAGTATCAATAATTCCCTCAAGGTGAATAAAAGCCTTTTTATAATGAGAATGTTGTTGCTTCTTGAAATTAGATTCTTGAGGATGGAAAAATCACCCTCTGGTTATATCATTAATGTGAGGTTTTTTAAAATTATGGTATAGGCAATTCCTGATAGTTGAGCTTTAGATAACTCAAAACAATTTGCTTGGTCCCTAAAAGTCGATGAATTTTCACTATATTTTAAGGTTTCAATTACAAATGCACACTCCCCTACACACTGAACATCTACAATAAATATTCACATAATTTATTTTGGAATTCAATATTCAAAATAAAAGGCACCCTTTATGTGTGGGATATTAGCATGCAAAAGAACTGTTGCACCAACACCGCTGATACAGCATTACCGAATATGGATCAGTATATCTCTACTGATATCAGCCAGCAAAGGGAGATCATAAGAATCAAAATTTGCAGGTTCATAAGTGATGATGGGACTTGACAGCCAGGCAAAAGGAGAGAAAGACAAAATAAGGAGGATATCAGATTCTTTGAATTCTATTCTTCTTCATTAATCTAGAGAGTCATTCAAGCAGTGCTGAAACTCCATCCACCTCATGCATGGTGAAGGTACATTTTATGACTCCACTTTGACTGCTGATTTTTATTCAGACAACCTAGGTACATGAAACTTTCAGGAAACAAATTTTGTGGCTTTTTCAATGTGATACAAAAACATCATGAACCTAGATCATTCACAGCAGGTTTAATAAAGCACCAAACAGGGCACTTTTTTTGGGCCACCTGATATGACAATTCTCAATTAATACCAACTTTGTGCATGACTTTCACTCTTTCTGAGTGTGGGGCACAGTCACAGACCTCAAATATGGCATATCAACCAAGTATTAAAACTTTCCCAGATAAAAAGGGTTGGTTATTGCTTTTCCAAAAAATATAGTTGCACCTCTATAACATATTAACATAATATAAAATTCTCACCAGTAGATATATCAATGATTCAGATCAATGCAGCAATGCATTCAATTCCTGCCACTGCATCATAAAAATGAGATGTGTTCTTCAAGTTTTTTTTATTAATTATGATACGACAGCAACCTTTACTGAATTCACAATGCATGATATCCAGCTACAGAGATTTCAAATCTTAAATTCTACACCATCAATAGTGAGAGTGTGTGAGAGTACACATGGATAAATGTAAAAAACCTAAGGCATCATCAGAGAAGTTCTGATTGAAAACTTACAGCTGCCTTTGTTTCATTAACATCCTTTTTGAGATCAATGAGTTGAGTTTCAAGGACAGCCTTCTTCTCTTGCAATGGTTTAGTTTCATCTCTGAGGCTGCTCATGGCTTGATTCAAAGTTTCCTCTGCTTCCACCTTTTCTTTTTCAGCCATTTCTGATGCTTTTTCCAATTCCTGAATTTTTTCTCGATTCTTCTCTGGGACATCCTTCAGCTGTTCTGCTTTAGTCTGCTCTGCCTGCAGGTTCTCCTGGAGCTTCTTTCGCAATTGATTTTTTCGTTTCTTTTCATCATTGATCTTAGCATCCTCCTGTTCAAGGGTCTTGAACTGTTCCTTCAGGCTCTCCATCTCTTTTGTTGCTGCTTCTAAATTCCTACATCCAGATTTGGGAGATCTTTAACAGTCTGACAGAGAATGTCAATGAGCTGAGACAGGTTGTGAGAGCAGATGAAATGCTGACTCATGGATGGTTTTCATAGTGGTTTCCTTTTCATTCTTCTTTTGTGAAATGGCATCCAGTCTCTCTCTCAGACTAGCAAAGCGCTCTTCCACTTGCTTTTGCTCCTCCTTTGCTGCTTCCAATGCTTTCCCCTTGTCATGCCTGGGATTCATGAGAGAAATCACTCAAAAGGGAAAGGCATACCACTATGGCTTGCTTGTCATTGGGTGGTAGCAATTATCAGATGATGGCATACCACCTGTTGGTTGAAACATAGAAATAGGTCTACTAGGATAATTATAAGCAAACTTCTTTGGGGGGCAATTATGAAACATTCACATAACTTTAAACTAAAATAAATTGGGAAGCTGGGAAAGGCTCAAGTCAAAAATTGTTCCACATGGACTTCAGTTCAAGTTTTACTCAAAAGTGAGTCGTACTTGCTCCCCAAAGATGGAGCATACCATGAGCATATAAAAAAAATGTGTTTAAAATGGAATGTAGTACAGAAAACTTTCTGAATTCTGATTCAGCTTCAGCAGCATACACCTCAAACTTCCTGCCACTTACTTAAAAATCCCTATGTTGTGAAAACCAACTAAGAATTTAATTATTTTTGTTTTATATATTTCATGAGTGTTTTATAATATCCCAGGCAATTTTTCCTCTGGGGTAATTTTTAAAAAGGCTTCAAGAGCAACTCTAAAATACACAAAAATCCTGAAAACACTAACAAGAATAACTATTGTCACTCTTTACATATCTTTTTCTTGTTACTCCTTTAAAAATATGAAGAGAATGGGTGAATAGCAAAATTTCATACAGATTTAAGCTTAACCCAGATATGCCTGATGTTCTATATGCAGGACAACATGTGGAGATGCACAATATTAACTTTGATATGTCTAGGTCAGCTTGATCAGTTGCTAGCCACAGGCTGAAGAACCACTTTGGTGTTGAATGCCACTACTGCCATCTGTTGATCAGGGCTGGCCCTAGCTATTTCAGTGCCCTGTGCAAAGAGACTCCCAATGGCCCCCCCCCCCCCCCCCCCCCCCCCCCCCCCAAATGGGGCANAAAAAGCCCCCCCCCCCCCCCCCCCCCCCCCCCCAAATGGGGCAGGGTCAATCTCTAGCGTCCACGCTGAAACGGATGGCATTTTCACTTTCTGAAGTAAAACTGAGAGTAGTATCCATTATTGCTTTGTATATTCAGTCACATTTTAGCACCCCTGGTGAATTTGTGCCCTGTGCGGCGGCACATGTGGCACATGCCTAAGACTGGCCCTGCTGTTGATTGACAATGAACTACAGAGGAAAATTTTTTCCGTATATCTCTGCATGCTGCCATGCATATAGAATCCCAGTCATATTTGGGTTAACAAAGCAATTAAGGAAATAGTTTCATGATTTGAGCAGATCCCAGTGAATTCCTCCACACAAACCATGATCACTAACCCATTTGAGATGTCTCAATTTTTTGCTACCAATAATATACAAGAAGCCTCCACTTCTATGATAATCACCCAAACCTGTGAATAGTAGGCCTACCTATGAAAAAGTTTGCATGCAAAATGCCCTTACCTGATAAAAATGGAGACCAATGCAGCTGTAATTTCAGCAAAGTACCCCACCTCTGGTTTTGAATATACACAGCCCCCCAAAAAAGATAACTATTTTATACATTTTTAATATCTCTACCTGATATCATAAGGGTTCCCTTTTTTTCTGCACATCTCCAATAAATAGGTAACACTTCTTCTGAGTTTAAAAAATTTCAATCAGTGCTTTAAATTTAATAACTTTATAAAGTTCAAGAACAGAAAACTGTAATCAACAGCTGTGTACAGCCCCTAACATGTCACCATCGTCATTGTTACCAATTATCCTAAGGTGAAAGCTCATTTTGTCAATGTTACTTTTATACAATGAGTATTTTTTAGCTATTTTAAATCAAATTAATTATTAATTTTGGTGGTTTTATTCAGTTTTTCCTTTTATCCAGTTTTGACCAGTAGAATGGACAGAAAGGCTTTTGCCTGGCATATACCAAACCCTGAGCATGATATATTGGTTTTTATAAATATAAACCCCTAACACAGGTCAGCACTTATCAGGAAATGCTGCCTTCAATGGATCAATGCTATGATAAATATACAACCTAATTGAAGTCTTGCAACTAACCAAAAAAAAATTTCAGCACCTCAATAAAATCAAAGTGGTGTTTTCGTCCCTCATCCCCTGCCCTCAGTAAAGAGCTGCATGAAACATGAATGAAGAATCAGCTCAGAAAGTAAATGTTTTCAAGATGACATACTTAACAATTAGGAGTTTAGATCCTTCCCTCATTTTAATTTTTTCCTTTTCTGGGAAAAAAAGATTTTATGTGCAGCCTTCCCAAATCATGGTAAGGGTCAAACACTTTCTGGAAAGTATACTTTCCACACCCCAAAAAAGGGTTAAAAGAAACCTTTGTGCAAATATACTAAGCTACCAAGCCTTTTCCTGTTATTTAGAAATCACTCACAGTTGACATTGGTAAATGAGACTGTGACATTGTGTGAGTTCATTCTCAGTCTTCAGGTACTTAATGGCTGCATTCTTTGGTCCCTCTAGCTGATCCTTCTCTTTCTCAATTGCTTTCACACGATTTAAATGCGTTGTTCGTTGTTCATTCATGGCTTCCACCTGCTCCTCCATCAGCTTCAATGGTTCCTAAGCCAAGTAACAATCACATGTGAGACAAGAAAACAAGCCCCTGCAGAAGCAAAAAATATATGTACTCAGTTTAAGGAAGGAAGAGGATAATGTTAAAATGCTGGAGATGGTAAACTTGGCACCTTGAAGCGATGAGATCCAATGACATCCTCTAAATACTCCAGCATGCCACTTTCATGCTCTGAGGGGGCTTTAGGCTTCATTAACGAAATTTGCTCCACTTCACCCTGGCAGCATATCAATATCAAGACATTAAAAAATGAAAGTCTGGTGCATTAAAGGGGGCATGCAGACAGATGGGTGCATAACAGACTTGCAGGATGAGAAAGCGATTGTGATCCAGATCAACACCATGACTGCGAAGGAGTTTTGCAACTTCCTGTCTTGGAACCCGTTTATCACCAATTGTGTAAAATGAGGAGTTGTCCTTCATTGCTGTCCGAGAAATGACTATCTCTGAACCGGGGACCTCTTCTTGTCCTCCATCAGGCTGTTCACAAACAGTGGATGAAATGTATGACACACTTCATATCATATCAGCTGTTTTGGCTATATATTTATGCTACAAAACAGCTTATGTTAAAAAGGTAATAAAACAGGTAAATGGCATAGATCCTAAGGAACCATTAATACATGGCTAACCATGCCTTTTTACCAAACTTACTTTTCTCTTGGTATATAAAACTAAAAAATGTTCTCTCGTTTCTTCCATTTAATTTCATTTCTACCATTTCTTGCTTCTTCCTAGTAATACTCTGAAAACATTGGTTTCACTTAATAGGTCAGTTAGTCTACAAAGACCATCTCAAGCTTCATAGCACAAAGGTATTCCAACATAACATTTCAGATACTACATATCCACAATACCGACAGTCAACAAAGGCAATGAGTGATCTGAAATGCAAAAAAATGCTTCAGTTAAGCATAACAGACTGACTAGTACATCTCACTTAATGATGCACCTTCACTGAACACACAAAGAATGAATTCCCTTCAACCAAGAGTGGTGCATTCATGATGAATAGCATAGCAGGTATACCTTGTCAATGATTTTCTTGAAATGCACAGAAACTCTGCATTTGTCAATGTTGGGATGCTCCTTTGAATTATGAATGAGGACACTAATCTTCTTGGAACGAATCTTCTGGGCTCGATAGCCAAATACAAATAGCATGGAATCAATCACATTGCTCTTCCCACTGCCATTTGGTCCAATGATGGATGAAAAGCTCTGCAAGGAGAAAACAGCCAACAATCATCATAGTATTCAAGAACAAGGAAACAACAGTAATAGATCATTTATTCATTTGATTTGGGTGACTGATGTAGATATATCCATAAAAGAAGTCCATTCTCAAAGTCTAACTTTTTCTCAATAATTGCAAATAGAATTGCTTCAGCTCAACAAGTTCAGATTAAACTTTAAGAATCACTTGGAAACATTCTCATATACAGGGTGGGTAAAAAAAAACCAAAGCTATAATTTTAAAGAGTCATCAATCTCTTTGCAGGCTGTTGATTTTGATTAAAATTGGTAGTCTTATAGGGTGACACAATTGGAGTTTATGTACCAAATTTCAGCCATCTGGCTTCAAAATTATAGGAGTTGTAATTATTTTCTGATGACCCCCAACAAAGTGTGCTGTAGAAAATATCAAAACCCTGAGGCCAGGATGAAATGGAATTCATTGACCTTCCATCCCTGCATGATGCTACAAAGGAAGATTGGAAGGCACTGCCTCAAAGGTTTATTGACTGAACCATGATCTGTGGTGTCCCAGACTACAGGCTTGCATTCAACAGAATGGAGGGCACATTGAGCACCTTTTCAGTTGAAATGTACATCCCTAAACCAAATTGTGTGCTTTCGTTTTTGGCATTTGTGCATCTGTTTTTGTTCTGTTTGTTTGCTTGCTTGTTTCTGTCAGTTGTGAGAATTTTAAAGTTGAAAGAAAAAACGAACACTTGCTTTCTTGGTTATGAAATGTAAATTAAATGACAACCTCACAGTTTTTGGAATTTTTATTTGAAACTTGGCACACAAACCCTAATTGAGTCACCCTATGTGTATACCAAATGTAATCAAAATTGGTTGCATACAATCAGATTGACAGCTTACCAAAAATGATAGCTTTGCTTTTTTGCCCACCCTGTATATGCATAGAGAAAGTTTCACAAGAATGGCACCATTGGGAGAGGAGATATTAAGTCATTAAGTCATTGGTCTTTTTTTTTGCCACACCCTGTATATACTACCTCATCCCTTTCTATTGTTCAATAATGGCCCAACTCCATCTGTCCCTTGCCTACCTATAACAAGAATATAAATCTTGCTCTTTCTTTGAGGAAAATCTTAAATTTGACTAGGGTAATACTATGATATCTTAACTTGTCCATTGGCAGTATACCAAGAACAGCCCAGAATATATCATGAATAGCAATGCCCAGACATACTTTACATATATGAACACTTTGTACAGAATGTATTCAAGAGATTTATTTAGATAATTCCCTTTTTTTTAAATTACCTTACCTTGTTAAATGGTCCCAAGATCTGAACACCAGCATAACTTTTGAAGTCTTCAATGGCAATCTGCGAGATAACAAGTCGAGGTCCTGTATTTTCCATGGTGAGTGCAGGAGGAGGGGGTGGAGGAATGTAAATGTCTCCAATATGAATCCCTCCTTCCTCTTCCATGACAAATCCATCAATTTCTGACTCATCCATTTCCTGAGCCTCATTCTCCCCATTCATTTCATTTGCCATCTCCCTATTCACTGGGTCAAGAGGTATTTCACTACCAAGATTTCAGAATTCAACTGAAAAACACTTATACGCCAGACCAATCTGCAATAAAACATTCCCTTATCAGGTATCAAATAGAGGGTTTCAATGACTGCTATTCCATTTAGAAAAAAACTGAAGTAGGTAATTTAAAAAATGAAACTAAGTGCAGTTTAATCCTCAACTGAATAAAATTATTGTCACTGAGAATAAGAAACATAGCCCTTAGCAGCTGCACAAATAGAGTGAAGCTGAGCACAACAGACTTATCCAACACCTGGTGATGAAAGTGGCATCTGCAGCTCTAGCAATGCAGAAGGCCACTGTCATTGCATGAGCTCTAATCTCAGTGCCTACCAGTTAATAATCAAATTAACCATTTCATCCAAAGGAGGGAGAAGCATTTTCATTAAAGTAAGTTTATTTTCAGACTAGAACAGACCCACAGAAGTTGATGCACAATGCAAATATGTGATGAGAATATGAATGCCAGATAAAATGCACGTGAGAAAATTTTAACCTTGTTATTAAAAATGGCTATAGGCGTAACATCAGGAGTCATAGGAGTTGTGCAGCCAAATTCATTGTGCAGATATCAGCAGTCCCTGTACAGGCAAACTTGTGCAGTGAACAGGGAATGAGGACCAAGAGTAAGAACAGCCAGACAAGAGGCAACCAAAATGTCATGTAAAGTTACTAAGGTGTGTATCCACTCAAACCTGGAGTTGTCAGTTCTCTACTGTTGACTGCTAATGCTAAAGACATTTTACATGAGGGAGAAGAGGTTCAAGGGCAGATGGATGGGGGGCATCAATCATCAATCACTTTAAGTGGGTTAGAGACACAAGCAGACATCACCATCAAGAGGAATGGAGGGAGAAGGATCCCTAGCATTAATCTGTGATTCATGCTAAGACCTATCTTTGGACTACTCTAGTCCTGGGAGAGGTATGCCAGTTGCCATTCCCCTTTGCCTCCTGCTTGGCCAATAATTTACAACTTTCTTTTACTTCTCTACACTCAAATATTTTTGCTTGCCAGAAGGGATAGGAAAAGGGAAACAAGGAAAAACACAAAGTTTGCACTGTTACAAAATGTTTATTACAAACTCATGAAAATGCAGTTTGTTATCCAAGTTTTTGCTAACATGGCATTTACATACTAGCTGAAGTACCCGGTGTCACCCAGGGAAATTCAATATTTCAGGCATGACAAATTGGGGAACGTTAGCCTTATGGTTTCTTATAAGTTTCTGATCTCAGATGCCACAAAATGCGCTCAGACCCCTTGCCCTTTTTTTTTACTTAATTTTTTTTACTGCTTTGAATAATTTCTCAATTGTTTTGGAGTGAAAAAACTTATTGGTAAAATGTTTTTATCATTTTGAAACATATTTTCATTGAAAAATTGATCAAAAGAATATTACTTACTACCTACTGTAGTGATCCAGCAATGGGATTACCCCAGGGTAATCTAATGCAGATGGCTAGGAGGGGAGAGTTTTGATGGCATGAGAGGACAAAAAAAAAGGCAGGGGACTGGTGGGAATTGAACCTGAGCCTCCTGATAGCCAGTCAGGTGTGCTACCACTGCACCACCGAATCCAGGAGTCAGTCGATCCTCTCAATGCCATCCCAGACACTACAGAACCCTGGGAGTGAACACTTTGGATTGAAACATTGCCCTTGACCTTCCCCTGGATGAAAGAGGAGGCCATGCAAAGTTTAGTTGCGCTGGCTCCTGCAGGGTTCGAATGCATAAAGTAACAGACAGACAGACTTTCTTCTTTATGTGTATATACATATATATATATATATATATATATATATATGAGTAAAGAACGTAGATATAAAGAGTAGTTGGCCAGTTTAGCAATTACCCGAATGGGCAGTGAAACTGCACTCATTCAAGGTGTGCCTATAGATTGAATAGAAGACTGTAATGCCCCTCCCAGCCAAAGCCACCCCACGGCAACAGGCAGGAAATGTCTGGCCACTAGCCCATGAGAAGAGGGCAGAAAACCATTGAATCCTGGAAACAAACTATGCCAAAAAAACTATTGCCGTGGGGTGGCTTTGGCTGGGAGGGGCATTGCAGTGTTCTTCTATTCAATCTATATATACAGGGTGTTCCAAAAGAAACTACCCACTGTTTGTCAGGGTATATCTCCTGGTAAAATGCATAGGCAATGATAATTTTTGGCGTGTGTATTATAGCCTAAAGGGAAAGTAATATACTCGGGGATGGCTGGAAGATCTCGCCTTAGCATTGCAGAAAGGGTACAAATAGTCAAATGGCACGCTAAGTATGAAAATGTGACAGAAGTGCAACAGCAGTTTGAGAAAACTTTTGGGTGTCGTCCCCCAGAATGGAAATCCATTGTAGCTCTAGTCAGAAAGTTCGATACCACTGGCAGTGTCCTTGATGGTGAAAGAAGTGGCAGGCCAAGAAATGCTCGCACAGAGAAAAGAACCAAGGCCATTTCAGAGTCACTCAAAAGAAGACCAAAAACGTCCATTCGTCGCCTGTCACAGGAGCTGGATGTGTCTCAATCAACAATTTTGCACATTTTGAGAGAACTTGGTCTCAAACCATATAAGCCAATACTGATTCATGGCCTCTCAGATGGAGACACGGACAGAAGGACTGAGTTTTGTGAAGTGTTCTTGAAAATGCTAGAGAATGATGCCACTCTACTGGATCGAGTCATTTGGACCGATGAAGCAATTTTCAAGTTAAATGGTCACGTCAATCGCCACAACTGCGTGTACTGGTCCACAGAGAATCCAAAGATAACAATGGACAAGGTGGTCAACACGAAAGGTGTCACTGTTTGGGCTGGAATATGGTCTGGAGGTATCATTGGACCATTCTTTTTTGATGGAACTGTCACAGGAAATTCATACCTAGCGTTACTCAACGAAAAGCTGTGGCCAGAAATCGAACACCATGTGGAAGCAGAGTGCCTTTACTTCATGCACGATGGAGCTCCAGCACATTTCAGTCAGCAGGTACGGCAGTGGCTGGACGAAAAGTTTCCCAATTCTTGGATTGGACGCAGAGGCCCAGTGGAGTGGCCACCGAGGTCACCAGATTTGACACCGGCTGACTTTTTTCTTTGGGGAGTTTTGAAAGATCAAGTGTATGGTAAGCGGCCACGGACAGTTGCTGCACTCAAACAAGCAATCATTGATTCAATCCGTTCCCTGCCTGTGGATTTGTGTCAAAAAGTGCGCCGTTCTGTTCGATCACGACTGGAAAAATGTCTAGCCGTTGGCAGCATTCAAATGGAACTGTTTTGAGTGAACTTCCTTACACCATCGTAAAGAGAACTTTCTGGTCTACAAAGTGGTGTCATATTATATGGTCTACGCCTTTTACTTTCTGAGTTATGCATCTTCAAACAGTGGGTAGTTTCTTTTGGAACACCCTGTATATATATATATATATATATACACACATATATATCAAGGGAAGGGGTATGGGTATACGACCCACGGCGTAAATTCAGAAATCAGGGTGCCAAGAGATGTTACAAATGTATCCAGAAGATGGTAGGATACCAGGATCGAAGGCAGAGAATGGCTGGGACTTGAATATTATGTTCTACCAATATGCAATAAAGGTCACATGTGCAAGATGTCTCTAGATGAAAAACCCTACATTGACTGGATGATGTGACTAACATAACTCCACTCTTTCTACTCACTACATTGCTTTTCCTTTAGAATGTTTGGTCTTAAATGGAGATTGCTCCATCAATGTTCGAAGATCTCAAAACACCAATCTATGAACGTGCCATCAGGATAAATTATTTGAGCACCCACTTAGATCTACTGCTGCATGCCTCGTACTTATCAGGAACATGTTGCATGCAGCATTCTTTTTCCTCTCTCTCATTTTTCTTGTCCCATTGTTAGTTGCCCCTGTCTTGCAAAAAAGGCTCTATCTTTCCACTTTTGAAATGCAATGCCTTCCTCAGCAGCAATTTTATCTTTATTAGCATCTGAAATAAATGTTACAAGCTAATTTAGGGCTCGCACGCATAACAGGATTTGTGATGACATCATATCTGCCTTTTGCTGAACATGTAATTGCATGAACATTATTAGTGTATACTCACCAACCTCTGAGTGCTACACCTCTGAGTGACGTGCCACATCAGGAAAATGCTAATCAGGTTTCTATGTGCCATGTAAAGTTCATCTTTTCAGAGGTAAAAGTAGTGGATCATGACACCAACTGACAACTAAGCATTGGACTGAATGTCAGAAAACATGTTTCAAGGTTCAAGACACCTGTAGGTCTAATGACCTATGAGGTGCATGACACCACAAGGAGGGTATAAACCAACACCAGTGACATCAGCGCATTGTGATAAGCAAAATAATGGAGAGTATCTCAATTTGGCCAATTATTTACTATTTACAAGGTTTGGCATCAGAAAGGGTTTTGAAATGTGCTTTAAAAAGGCTATGGTGGTAGTCAACATGTTAAGTACGCACTGTACTTGGCTTGGAGTTCTACCACTAAGTTGTGAAGCAGCAGTTCCTTCACTTATGATGGGATGTCACCCCATGGGTTTGACTTGTCAAACACCTTCACCATCCATGACAACGGCACCAGGGAAGGAGAGCATATGGGTGAAATATCCAAAAACAATGTAAAAATAATATTAAGAAATTAGTGGGTTCCTCTTCCTTAACAGTACAAGGAGGTAACTTAACATATTCAAGGTAAAACATTATTTTCTGGCCTTAATGCTGTGACAGTGGTGTTGTGCAATTATGAATTCAGAATGTTTACTTATCCTCAAGGATGATATAGTTTTTGACAAACAGGATTCATTAATTAAAATTGTGAAGTTGTGCACAGTGATACACAGTCATACAGTGTCAAAATTGGAAGATTTCAAGATCACACCCCCTTCCCTTCAGCCTCAATGCTGAGTCAGGACATGAGGAATATGA